TATAGATGGCTGCATCTCATCATAAAGTCTCTGTTTGCTCAACTACAGTTCGGGTGTGCCAGAATTGCACAACTGATGAAATGGATATTATGCAGCCTGGTAGGATGGTATTTCTCCCTCTTTACTAAACTGAAAGATAAATCAGAGATAGATGGATAACCTGACACCATTCCAATGTATGATATTCAATTTTTCCTTTCCAGAAAGTCAGGTAAAGGATCAAAAATTCTTGGCGTCTCAATCCTCGGAGATTTCAAGCCACCAATGACCTTGTTTGCAAGTTGGTCTTCTACATGTCACTTTCCTGGATTAGATTGTTTGCAGATTTGATGATGATAATGATTTACTTTATTTATACCCAGGAGGGTCAAGGTGGTTAATAATTACACATTTTGATCAACTGAAAGCAAAGTGAATTCAAAAATTAAAAACAATTAAATAGTACTGTGTCCGGTTAAAAATACAGTAAAAACATAATAAATAACATGCATTTGAAATCCGATTAGTATGGTTTCTTTAGAGATCTCTAGTTTCTCTAGCACATCTCTGTTGTCAACAAGCAGCATTTTTCTTTTTTTTCTGTTTTATTTTGAATTTTAAGAGGGATAATAACAATAATAACAATAATAACAATAATAATAATAATATACTGATAATAATACCAGGTGACAGTCGCATTGAGGAAAAACAATAGGAAAAACTCAGCCGTATAATAATACTATACTAATAATAATACCAGGTGACAGTCACATTGAGGAAAAACTCAGCCATTATCAGGACCTGGAAACTGAACAGCAAAGGCTCTGGCATAAACCAGTACAGGAGGTCCCAGTGGTCATTGGCGCATTGGGTGCCGTGTCAAAAGATCTCAGTTGGCATTTGGAAACAATGAACATTGACAAAATCATGATCTGTCAACTGCAAAAAGGCCACCCTATTTGGATCTGCACTCATCATTCGAAAATACATCACACAGTCTTAGACACTTGGGAGGTGTTTGACTTGTGATTTTGTGATACGAAATCCAGCATATAGATCTCGTTTGCTGTGACATACTGTGTTTTTGTGTCAGTAAAATAATAATACACTTTTAAAAATATGCCGCTCTATCTCCCCGAGGGGGCTCAGAGCGGATTACAGTATACACATATATAGGCAAATATTCATTTCCTTTTATACAGTGGACAACAATGGCAAACAATACACAAACAAAGGCAACGGTTTTCCTTTTTCATCTTTGGCATCTGGAGGCAGTGCTCAACTCTGGCCATGGGGAGGTACTCTTGTTCCATTTCCATGCTGAGGAGCCTGTTATCTGTAGACACCTCCTGGTCATGTTGCCGGCATGGCTGCATGGGCGCCTTTTACCTTACCTAGTGATCTACTTGCATTGCTTGTTTTTGAACTGCTAGCATAAATAAAAGAAACAAAATTGCCTATACATGCAGAAAAACATTAGGACAACATCTCTTAACATTTGCGTAGATAACTACACAATTTCTCTCACCAACCTAAATCTCTATTCTAACTAAACATAAACCTAAAATACAAACATATATAAATACATTGGCTTGAAAAGAGGGTTTTCTGCTCTCCTTTTGTTAGTTTGTCTAGAGTTTAACATTTTCTCTTCCACTTTATATCCAACATTCCTCAAAAGGTGACAATGGTGTCACACTGTAAAGATTCCCAGATTGCGGTTGTCTCAGGTTTTTTAAAAAAAAATCAGTTTTCTATTAGTGGTTTCCCAGTTTTTTGCTGGGATCCTGCATCCCTAACCCCTGTGAAAGTGGGGAGCCTATTGTAGCATTAACAGCAATAAACATATCAACTATCCCTGTTTTGAAAAGCTACAGATTAATCTGTAGCACAGCGAGTTAAACCGCTAGCTGTAGGAAATCTGCTGACTGGAAGGTTGGCCGTTCGAAGCTGTGAGTCAGGGTGAGCTCCCACTGTTAGCCCTAGCTTCTGCCAACCCAGCAGTTTGAAAGCATGGAATGCAAGTAGATCAATAGGTACCATCTCGACAGTAAAGTAAAAAGAGGTGCCCCATGCAGACATGCCGACAACCGATTGGAGATGTCTACAGACAACAGGCTCCTTAGCATGTAAAAATGGAAGAAGAGCACATCTGCATGACCCGAGTTGAATAACATTACATTCAAACGCTGAAGAAGGAAAAGGGGAAGGCCTTTATCTTTGTCTGTGTATTGTATTTTGTTTTGTTCAGGGTTGCGTAAAAGCCATTGAAAGTTTGCCGTATGTGTGTACCGTAATCAGCTCTGAGATAAAGTGGAATATAAATAAAGGGTATTATTATTATTATTATTATTATTATTATTATTATTATTATTATCTCTTGCCTTACCATTTTTTTCAGTTGCTTTAAAAGTGGTCTCCCCCACCCATTATCCCTCTTTGTCTTTGCTAATGTCTGTTGTGGCAAAAGCAATTTGCACTCAACAGAATAGAGCATGAAATCCTGCCCTTCCCAATAAGCACAGATAGCAAACTGCTGCAACCTCTCTAGTTCATCTGTTCCTTCTCTTTTAATAATTTTTGCCATTTTGACTGTGCTTGGATGTTGTATGGGTGCAAGTATCCGGGGATGCATCCACACCGTAGAATTAATGCAGTTTGACACCACTTTAACTGGCATGGCCTAATGTAATAATTAAGAGGCACCAGAATTCTTGTGCAGAGATGGTTAAAGACCTTGTAAAATGACAACTTGCACAATTCTTTAGCAGTGGACCATGAAACATCTTGCTCCACTTCCTGCAATACTGAATCACCTCTTCAAAAAACCACATTTATGCCTAGAGGGGTCAGGAGGGAGGAATGAAACCCTTGAAAAATTGCAAAAGCAGAGAGGCTGGGCAATGAGCTCATTCATATATATATATGAATAAGCTCATTGAGAGAAAGAGAGAGAGATGGAGCAGGTGACATTTAACTTATTGGCAGGGAACTTCCCTTTTTAAAGAGAGAGCCACGACTAATGACTTGAAACAAGCATATCAAGAACAAGAATGCTTTTCTTCCTTGTCTGAAAGTGATCATGTCCTTCCCTGCAAAGGTGCTTCTGAGGATATTCTGCAAAATGTTTCTAGACTGTCCCTGTTAATGGAAGCCTTTCCTTATTTGATGCTTTGGGAAAGGGAAGACTAGAATGGAAAAGCTTGGACAGTGAGTCTACATCAGTGTTTCTCAACCTTCCTAATGCTGTGACCTCATGTTGTGGTGACCCCCAACCATAACATTATTTTCATTGCTACTTCACAACTGCAATTTTGCTACTGTTATGAACCATCATGTAAATACCTGATATGCAGGATGTATTTTCATTCACCAGACCAAATTTGGCACAAATACACCCAAATTTGAATACTGGTGGGGTTTGGGGGGGGGGGGTTGATTTTGTAATTTGGGAGTTGTAGTTACTGGGGTTTATAGTTCACCTACAATCAATGAGCATTCCGAACTCCACCAATGATGAAATTGAACCAAACTTGACACACACAACTCCCATGACCAATAGAAAATACTGGAAGGTTTTGGTGGACATTGACCTTGAGTTTTGGAGTTGTAGTTCACCTACATCCAGAGAGCACTGTGGACTCAAACAATTATGGATCCGGGCAAACTTTGCAGAAATACTCAAGATGCCAAAATGTGAACACTAGTGGAGTTTGGGGAAAATAGACCTTGACATTTGGGAGTTGTAGTTGCTGTCGGTCTTCAGTCCCGCCGGCACAAGGGTTTAACTTATTGCGCCACTGGAGGCTCCTTGCTGCGCCTGTGTTTGATCTTGAATTGCATTGTGTGAAGAAGCAAAAGGGATTAAATGTGCACGCAGGGGCGGCTAAACCCTTTACGCAAAGTAAGCATTTGCAGTATAGTTGATTTTGCCCAGGGGCGCTATTGAGACGCTCTTGGGGGAAAATAGACCTTGACATATGCGAGTTGTAGTTACTGGGATGTATAGTTCACCTAAAATCAAAGAGCATTCTGAACTCCACCAATGATGGAATTGAACCAAATATGGCACACAGAACTCCCACGATGAACAGAAAATATGTATCAGTGATTGGTTGGGGGGGGGGGGGGGGCGCCAAAGTACTGTTTGCTTACCATTGAAAATTAACTAGGGCCACCTCTGTGTGCACGGGACAACTTTTAAGACGCTCTAACCCAGGCATGGGCAAACTTTGGGCAAACTCCCACAATTGGGAGTTGATGTCCAAAACATCTGGAGGGCCAAGGTTTGCCATGCCTGCTTTAACCCAATGTGAAAAAGGATATAGGTACTCTGCCTAATTACTTTTGGCTTCTGGAAACCCCAGAATTGACCACTTCTGGTTTAGAAATACTTGGGCAGTTGGATGCGTCAGATACTGCATTCCTGGTAGATTTGGGTGAGTCATCTGGAGCAGACCAAAGAGCGGAAAGGTGGGGCTTCAAAAGGTAAAGAGAAAGATGTTGGAGAGGCATTGAATTAGAGGCAAAGATGGGTCATGCACTGCTGTTCAGTTTGCATACCCCTTTAAAAGCAGCTGTTATCTGAAGAATTCTTCAGAAGCTGTGTTGAGACTTGTAGCGTCTGGGCAGGGCCTGTTTTAGAAGACAGAGAAAGGAATATTAGATTGAGAAACGCACAGAAAATACTGTGAAGAAACCTAGCCGAGCAGGAAAGAGTGGGTAAGCGAGGTGTCTTATACCAGAAGACTATTTAATCTAAAGAGTGCAGGTATTTCACGAGGCAACTTGGAAAAGGATCAAAGAAATTGGAAGGAAGAAAGAGACGAGGAAGACATTTGGAGTAAAACACTTAGAGAGAACATTTGTCTTTTTTTTCTGGAGAGAGGAACTTGGACAAAATAAAAAAGTGGGGATAATATTTGGGAAAACCAGATAGTGAAGAAGTGTTTTAGATACCCAGAGGAAACAACTGCAAAACAGAAAGGGGAGGAGAGGAATATAGCCAGGGTTGGTGAGATCTATCTGGTGGCACTCTGCACTGTCATGGCGGTCCCAACCGGAGTGGAGGATTTTGCAGAAGACCTGCGTTGTTCCATCTGCCTGGAGCTCTTTCTGGATCCTGTCATGCTGGAATGTGGGCACAATTATTGCCAAGCTTGCATTACTCGCTTCTGGGCAGAGATACCCGTCAATGGTGGAGCAGACGTGCCACTTCCCACTTGCCCGGAGTGCCGGCGTGAGATCCCAGATGGCAAATTCACAGCCAACCGGGTGCTGGGGCAGCTGGCAAGGAAGGCTATGGAGTCCCTCTCTGCTCATGCTAGTGATGAGGATGCCGAAACGGAGCAGAATGATGAGGAGCTGCAGGGGGACAGACTCTTTTGCATCGACGACGGTTGTCTTGTGAGGTCATTGCAACTGGAGCATTGGGGACATCCGTGTCTCCCTTTAGAGGAGGCTGTGGAGCACTACAAGGTCAGTAGGAGGCACTGTGAAGGTCTGAATTGGGTGGGCAACCCAAAGCAGGTATCATCCTACATATAAGTATGCCACCTGCCTAATATTAGTCATACAATTAGACCTTGGAGTCACCCCATGAAATTGATGGGGAATTGGTTCGAGTGTAGATGAAAGGAACATTGAAGGCAACCTTTCACAAATGTATGGCATTATTAACTCTGTTGTATTCAGAGCACTTGTGCCGGCAGGGCTGAAGACCAACAGGTCAGAGGTTCGAATTCAGGGAGAGCCCGGATGAGCTCCCTCTGTCAGCTCCAGCTCCCCATGCAGGGACATGAGAAAAGCCTCCCACAAGGATGGTAAAACGTCAAAACATCTGGGCATCCTCTGGGAAATGTCCTTGCAGATGGCCAATTCTCTCACACCAGAAGCAACTTGCAGTTTCTCAGGTCACTCCTGACACATGCACACAGAAGCTCTGTAGTATGAAGGTCACATGTTTTGGGGGCCTTTTGAAAGTGGGATTAGAAAACTTCACAGAGGAAAAGCATATTCAGGGTTACTCAAGACATCATAAATAATATTCAGTTGTGGAGTCACCCTATGAAATTGATAGAAAATAGATTCAGGTGTATGTGAAAGGAATACTGAAAGCAACTTCTCACAAATGTGTGGGGAAATGGCACTACTTAAAAGAACCCCACACCTTGTGTGACTGTGGAGCAGAACAGACAACTCCGCATCTGTCCGCTTGTCCACTATGCCCTGCCTCATGTACAGAGGAAGAAATTGTTGGAGGCTACAGACAATGCCATTGCTGTTGCCCGTTTTTGGTCAAAAGATATTTAGCCACCTGCACACCTTCTATTTTTATCAGTTTTATATTAATTTATGCAATGCTTTTGATATGAAATAAATAAAATTGCTCTGTAATGTGAAGGCCAAATATTTTTAGGGAGCTTTTAAAAGTAGTATATGGCGACTTCACAAAGAAGAAATATACCTGGGGCTACTTAAATTCTCACCCCAAGCAATGGCAGCTGGGAAGCCATGTGCCAGGTCACACAATGACTTTATTCCATTCTTTACAGGCGTTTTCTATGGCACTAAAGCTCTAGATCAGTGTTTCTCAACCTTCCTAATGCCAAAACCACTTAATAAAGTTCCTCATGTTGTGGTGACCCCCGACCATAAAATTATTTTAGTTGCTACTTCATAACTGTAATTTTGCTACTGTTATGAATTGTAATGTAAATATCTGATATGCAGGATGTATTTTTATTCACTGGACCAAATTTGGCACAAATACCCAAGATGTCCAAATTTGAATACTGGTGGGGTTGGGAGGGATTGATTTTGTCATTTGGGAATTGTAGTCGCTGGGATTTATAGTTCACCTACAATCAAAGAGCATTCTGAACTCCACCAGTGATGGAATTGGACCAAACCTGGCACACAGAACTCTTACAACCAACAGAAAATACTGGAAGGGTTTGGTGGGCATTGACCTTAAGTTTTAGAGTTGTAGTTCACCTACATCTAGAGATGTAGGTGATAGATCTGGACCAAACTTGGCCCGAATACTCAATATGCCCAAATGTGAACATTGGTAGAGTTTGGTGAAAACAGACCTTGACATTTGGCAATTGTAGTTGCTGGGATTTATAGTTTACCTACAATTAAAGAGCATTCCGAACTCCACCAACGATAGAATTGGCCCAAATTTCCTACACAGAACCCCATGACCAACAGAAAATACTGTGTTTACTGATGCATGTTTAGCCTGAAGAAGAGAAGGATGAGAGGAGATATGATAGCCATGTATAAATATGTGAGAGGAAGCCACAGGGAGGAGGGAGCACGCTTGTTTTCTGCTTCCCTGGAGACTAGGACGCGGAACAATGGCTTCAAACTACAAGAAAGGAGATTCCATCTGAACATGAGGAAGAACTTCCTGACTGTGAGAGCCGTTCAGCAGTGGAACTCTCTGCCCCAGAGTGTGGTGGAGGCTCCTTCTTTGGAAGCTTTTAAATAGAGGCTGGATGGCCATCTGTCAGGGGTGATTTGAATGCAATATTCCTGCTTCTTGGCAGGGGGTTGGACTGGATGGCCCATGAGGTCTCTTCCAACTCTTTGATTCTATGATTCTATAATGGTCTTTGGCGACCCTGCTGACACCCCCTCATGCCCCCCCCCAGGGGTCCTGAGCCCCAGGTTGAGAAATGCTGCTCTACATCTGGGACTAGTTCCTCTAAAATGGGAAAATAGAAAGCCCAAGAGAGCTTCTCTGAACCCTCTGACATGAAAGTTCCTAAGTGCCAGTAAACCTGAGATGTTCCTCAAAGGAAGGATAAGATGAAGTCCTCTTCCCAATCCATGTCCAGAAGCTGATTGGACTGGGTGCTGACTTGAATCCCTTGAATGCCAGTGGTGGGATATAATATCCTCCATGAAATTACAGGCAGTAGACTAATGAAAAAGACTCATGACATACATATATACTGCTCTGTCTTCAGCAGAAAAGAATCACTATGAAGTCAGGAGGTGCCACCAGAGAGCTGACACAGGAAGGTGTCTCATTCTGCCAAAATGTAGTTTTGGTCCTGGTCAACCATGATGGAGATATCACCATAGTCAGACTCAGAATGAGCCATGAAAGTGCAGAAAATCATCATGCCAAAACAGAAAGCCATATTGTTATGGTTTCCAGGTTTTAGCATCCTCAAAGAATAAATTAGTCATTATGGGAAACCCCGGTGGCGCAGCGGGTTAAACCACTAAGCTGCTGAACTTGCTTCCAGGGGCGGCTCAACCCATTACGCAAAGTAAGCATTTGCAGTATAGTTGATTTTGCCCAGGGGCACTCTTGAGGCGCTCTTGGGGGAAAATAGACCTTGACATATGAGAGTTGTAGTTACTGGGATGTAAAGTTCACCTACAATCAAAGAGCATTCAGAACTCCACCAATGATGGAATTGAACCAAATATGGCACACAGAACTCCCATGACGAACAGAAAATATGTATGAGTGATTGGTTGGGGGGGGGGGGGTGCCAAAATACTGTTGAAAATTACCTAGGGCTGCCTCTGCTAGGTTCAAATCCAGGGAGAGGGGTGAGCTCCCGCTGTTAGCTATTCTAATAATATGTTATATGTGCTATTCTAATAATATATTATAATATAATATATAATATATTGTATATACATATAATATTTATAATATTGTAATGTAATGCAATATAATATAATACTACTACTAATAATATGATATTATAATTATATATTTATATTACATGTAATATTACTAATAATATTACAGTATAATTGATATAGTGCAATATAGCAATATTTAAAACTGATATTGTACTATGTTAATAATATATTGTATGTATATATACCTTGTAAGCCGCTCTGAGTCCCCTTCGGGGTGAGAAGGGCGGCATATATTTATTATTTATTTACCTTACTTATATACTGCTGTTCTCAGCCTGAAGGCGACTCACAGCGGTTCACAACAAATACGAACAGCAAAAATTCAGTGCTACAGTATAAAAACAGTTAACAACCTAACACATTACACAATTAATAAACAGTTACTACAATACCCATTCACTGTTGTCTTGTCATCAAAAACATGTTCCAGATTCGTCATCCATTGTTCCATTCCAGTGTTCATTAACCAATCATTGCACTAATTATTCGAATGCCTGTCGTGAATAAATAAATAAATAAATAGCCCTAGCTTCTGCCAACCTAGCAGTTCGAAAACATGCAAATGTGAGTAGATCAATAGGTACTGCTCCGGTGGGAAGGTAACGGCGCTCCATGCAGTCATGCCGGCCACATGACCTTGGAGGTATCTATGGACAACGCCGGCTCTTCGGCTTAGAAATGGAAATGAGCACCAACCTCCAGAGTCGGACACAACTGGACTTAACGTCAGGGGAAAACCTTTACTATGGGAAATCAGATATTGGGCAAAGTGGGACCTTCGTGTGGCTAGTCTTGGTATGAGAGAAACTCTTTGATCAGCATCAATTGCACTACTACAATACACCACCAGAGGGTGACTTGTCACTTTGTAATTTCCCCTTTTTAGTCTTCAAGATGCTGCAAGATCCCTTTGTATACTTGTTATAGGCTTTATCTTCTGTGTCAATGCAACTGGGATCTTATTCACCTGAAAGCTCAAAATAAATCATGCCACTCTTGATTTTGCATTTTTCCCCAGTGCTGGCTGATGTCCCCCATGTTAGTGAATCTGATCTGTGTTTTAGTCTAATTTTAGTTTGAACTTCCATTTAGTGATTGCTGTTGGACGAACGGGCTTATCAGCAAAAGACCTGTGTCATAAATGTACAGCAGAGTAACTTATCAGCAGCAGCGTGACCCAGCACCAGTAGTCCAAAGTGATAAAAAGAACAATGATACATAGACCAATGTTATCTCTTCCATAGGAGGCTTTTCTTTGTAGTAAAATAATATGGATGGACTATTTACAAGAACAAGGTTTTTATAGTACAAATAAAGTTCTTTATAGTTCCTTCTCTGTGTCCATGCTGGGCTTCTTATGCATATAAATAGCTTCGCTCTCGCAGAGCCCCGTCTCACAACAAACTTATACTGGAGTTTCACATAGTAGCATTTTACACACAGCAGCCTTAATACTGGAGCTTTACACATGAGGCTTTACACACAAGACCTTTAACCTGGGGCTTCTTTCACCAAAGCTTGCCTACATCAGGACTTCTCACAGACTAAGGCCTACCTCACAGACTGAGACCTTTCTCCCACTGAGGTTTACCTCAGACTGACTGCTACTAAGCTACAGGCACACCTACTTATATAGAATCGCTGAGTCATTGTATCCATTTAACCCTCACATTTTTGTATTATTTTTTTTGTAATTTAAAAATAAAAAAATAACATTTTTGTGCAACCAAACTTTTAAGAACTTAAATTGAATGGCTTTCAGTGATGCAATGTGCTATGTTATACTTAATATTGTCTTTTAATGAAGGTTAATGTTTTTAATGTTTAACTACTTATCTTTAAAAATGGTTTAGTTGCCTTAAAATAATGTTTATATTGCTTCTTTTTGTTTTGAAGTTTTTTGTATAGTTTTCAAATACTTTGCTTTCTACTCTGGGTCCCTTTATTTGAAGAAAGGTAGATCAACAACAACAACAATAACAGCAACAACAACAATAATAATTGCTTGTTGTTTTTATTGATGTGTTGTTGGGCTTGGCCTCATGTAAGCTGCTCCGAGTCCCTTGGGGAGATGGTGGCGGGGTATAAATAAAGTATTATTATTATTCAGATAGTGCAACCCTTTCCCCTAAATAGCAAAATCTGAATTACTCCAAGCTCTGAAATTGTGTAGCACTTGGATGAGATAAAGCCCCCCCCCTTTTCTGCTGGTTCAATTGCACAAATGTTATTTCATGCATGATTTAAAATGATGTACAAAATTCAGGCTGTTAGAGACCCTAAATTGGGTCTTCTTAGGTCCACATCAAGGGAGCACGTAAGGAAGGAGACAGTCACACACAAAAAAAGATCAGAAAACAAGGTTTATTTTAGTTTCTTCATGAAGAAGATGTACAGCCTGGCAGCATACGCAGATGCTACCCTCCAAGTGACTGCCGCCCCCTCCTCTGTTTCTGCTGACCTTTATACTCAAGTAATAGGTCATGGAAAGTACTCTCTTTCCAGCCCCCCTCCCTTGACCTTGTGATAGAAAGTACCTTCATGTACCTGCAGACTCTGCACTTAACCACAACCTTTGGCTTAACCACAACACAACTTCCTATGTGAGTTTGAACTTTGTATGACGTCTACATGTCACATCTTGTTTCTTTAAAACATTTTTTTCCGTGTTGCTCTTTTTCTACAGAGAAAGGGTATATTTCTGTTTTGCTGTTAATTTCATTCAAAGCCCCTTGCTTAGCATTTGCAAATTTCACTCAAAGACCCTTTCAAGGCTATGTGTATAAGTGTATATGAAAACATAAATGAATGTTTAAACTTCAGTATCATCTCTGTGGGTGCATCTGAACTGTAGAATTATTGCAGTTTGAAAGCACTTGAACTACCGTGGCTCAGTGCTATGGAATCCTGTCAGTTGCAGTTTGGGGAAGCACTGACACTCTGGCAGAGAAAGCTAAAGGCCTTGTAAAATTTCCAGAATTCCATAAAGCCGAGCCATGGCAGCTCAAGTGGACACTGGATGCTCTGCAAATAAATACATGTTAGTTTTGGTTTTTAAAAAGCGTCTCTTCTTCTGTTCAGGAGATCTTAACAGCTTCTCAAGCATTGCTGGAAACAAGAGTCCAAGCAGCAAGACTACTGCAGGAACAGAGTGCCCAGAAAATCCCAGAAATTACAGTAAGTTTTTTTCTAGTTTTATGAAAAATACTAGCTAAACCCAGCCACGCTTCACTGTGGCTCAGTCTGATATGGAATGAATGTGAAAGTAAATTAAAGTATTGTAGTGAACATAGATTCACCGAGAAAACACATCATTCAATTCGGTACCCTGCCTTGTGTAGCTGTGTCTATGTGAAAGAAAAGGAAAAGAAGGAAAAAGAGTTTTTTTTAAACCAGAAATCATTATTGTGAAGCTAGTGGATTGACTACATTTTTGGTTTGTCCGTTTTCTGCATAAACATAAAGATCAGATAGTTTACCACCTCTGAAGCATGCGACGTATAATTGCCCACTAGAGATGCAATTGTTTTCTAAATTCAAACTGCATACTTGCAAAGATTGCCCCTGTGCTTTATTGATAGTGAACACAAGGCGTATTGGAAACTGAAGTTGTCTGAATTCGAATGCCATGTCAGTCGGAATGAGTGTCCATCCATGGTCCATCCTCCTCCAAGCCACATTAGGATGTAGAGCGGGTCATGGGGGCTCTGCGTGCCAAGTTTAGTATTGATCAGTCATTGGTGTGGGTCGCTGTGGTCTCAAGGAGTTAGTGAAGATACTGCAAGTCCAATCATCCATGGTCCAAATTCTTCCAAACCGCACCAGGATGTAGAGTGGGTCATGGGGGCTCCATGTGCCAAGCTTGGTCCCGATCCATCATTGGTGGGGGTCACAGTGGTCTCAGGAAGTGAGTGAAGGTATTTCAAGTCCCATTTTGATACAACATCATCCATAGTCCATCCTCCTCCAAACTACATCAGGATGTAGACCTGGTCATGCGGGCTCTGTGTGCCAAGTTTGGTCTTGATCAGTCATTGGTGCGGGTCGTAGTGGTCTCTGAAAATGAGTGAAGGTACTGCAAATCCCATCATCCATGGTCCAACAGCCCCCCAAACCGCACCTCAATCCCTGGTGAAGTTTGAGGGAGGATGGACCACAAACGATGACGTAGTGTCAAAATTTCAAGTCAATCATAGAATCATAGAATCAAAGAGTTGGAAGAGACCTCCTGGGCTATCCAGTCCAACCCCCTGCCAAGAAGCAGGAATATTGCATTCAAATCACCCCTGACAGATGGCCATCCAGCCTCTGTTTAAAAGCTTCCAAAGAAGGAGCCTCCACCAATCAGCCGACTACTTTTCGAGAACACAAACACACGCATTCTGAATTTTTATATAAATAGATAGTAGGCTCCTGTATGAAGAGAGGGAATCCATTCCTGGACATTTTGTGTAATATGATTTTTGCATATACCATTTGGTCCTCCTGCTCAGTGCTATGGTATGCTTCAGCAAAACCAAGCACTGCTGAGAGAAGTATGCATTCACACATTCTTCTCTGTCATCTTTCCCATTTTAGGCTCAGCGGCTCCGATTGGAGCAGCACCTCTCAGCCCAGTTCATTGAGCTTCACCAGTGGCTCCAGGAGAAGGAGGCGGCCATGAAGAGGACAATCCGACACGAGGAGGAACTTCTGGTGAGCGAACTGGAAAGGAACCAGCGCAATGGGCAAGAGCAAATCTACATGTCAGAGGAACACATGGCTAAGATCCAAACTCGGCTTGAGGAGCACCAAGACCCTGAAATTTTCTTGAAGGTGAGAACATATTTCAGCAAAATTGTTTCTCCAAATGTGTCGGAATGTCTCATCAGCTGGTTAGTTCACAGGAATCCTGAAATTTGGACGGCATCTATGCTGTAGAATTAATTCAGTGCTATGGAATCACTGAAGTTGTAGTTCCCAGCCAGCTGCACAGGGACTGTAGTGCAACTGGCTGGGAATCAGCTGCATTAAGATCACTACTGACCAAAAGGTCATGAATTTGAAGCTAGCCTGGGTCGGAGTGAACCTCTGACCAATTTGTGTAGCTTGTGACCTTTGCAGCCTGAAAGACAGTTGCATCTGTCAAGTAGGAAATTTAAGTACCGTTTATGCGGGGAGGCTAATTTACAATGTCATAAAAATATCCAGCAAGCATGCAAAGAATGAGGAAGTACTTCATTAGTGTCACAAATGGACAGCGAAGCAACAGCCTCTGTGTGTCTGTCTATATATGTTGTGTGTCTATGGCATTAAATGTTTGCCATGTATATTTACATTGTAATCCACCCTGAGTCCCCTGAGGGGTGAGAAGGAATATATAAACTGTAAATATATAAATAAATAAATATGTCAAAGGGTGTTGGTATCTCACCTAACTACAACTCACAAGAATCCATAGCATTGAGCATGGCAGATAAAATGATGTTAAACTGCATTAATCCTATAGTGCAGATGTACTGCTAAATATCTGGAGGTCACTAGGCTGGCTCAAGGTGGGGCTGAATATCAACATTTGGCTAAGTTCTCTATCCATCAACCCATGAAATATTATCTGGGTTACTCCAAACTTTCTTCACTTTAGCCATGTAATTTATGGTGAGGACAGCAATGAGTTAGGAAGAAAAAATATGGAGAATCAGAAATGCTTGTCCTTACAACAGCTGACCCTTGACTAATTCCTGCTATCTTTTTCCCACAGGACATCAAATTCTTCACAGAAAAGTAAGTAGAGCAGAGCTTTCCAAACATTTCATGTTGGTGACACACTATTTATATACATGCATCATTTCATGACACATTAATTCAGCTTTACTAGCAAATCAAAAGTTAAATCAACTCCTTATAAAAGACTAGCTGGACCCACCATGCGTTGCTGTAGCCAACCTTCCCTCTCTCTTTCTCTCCTTCTTTCCCTCCTTCCTTTACTCCCTCTTTCCTTCCTTCCTTCCCTTTTTTTCTTTCCTTCTTTCCTTCCTTCCTTCTCTACCTCTTTCCTTCCTCCCCCCTTTTTCTTTCCCTCCCACTTTCTCTTCTTCCTTCCTTCCTTCTTCCTTTCTTCCTTCCTTCCTTCCTTCCTTCCTTCCTTCCTTCCTTCCTTCCTTCCTTCCTTCCTCCTTCCTTCCTTCCTCTCTTTCCCTCTCTTTTTCTCTCTCTCTTTCTTTCTTTCTTTCTTTCTTTCTTTCTTTCTTTCTTTCTTTCTTTCTTTCTTTCTTTCTTGCTCTCCTTCCTTCCCTCCCTCTTTACTTCCCTTTTTCTGTATCGTCATTTAGTTTTTTTGGGAAGAACTAAGGAAGAACTTTCCGCTCTTTTGTGTGTGTGTGTGTGTGTGTGTCGAGGGGGGGGGTTATGAGTGATGGACACTCATTGGCTGTTAGGGGTGTAGTGTCCAAATTTTGTGTCAATTCATCCAGTATTTTTTGAGTTATGTTAATCTCACAAACAAACATTACATTTTATTTATATAGATAATAATAATAATAATAATAATAATAATAATAATAATAATAATAATTTTATTTTTATACCCTGCCAACCATCTCCCCAAGGGGACTCGGGGAGACAAGCCTAAAAATTACAAATAGAACACAACCAATTAAAAACATCAGATAAAATATAAAAACACACAATTGTAAACAACATCAAAGCAATATGGCTGAAAAAAAGAACAAAAGAACATGGACACATACATAAATTAAAATAATGAAATGTATGGGGACGTAATATATCCCATGAAAACTTTTTGTTTATATTTTAAAAAATATATTATTAGCAAGATAATAACTTACATTCCCAAGATCTTTGTTGTTTCTTGTTATGTTCATATGACACACTTAAACACTGAAGTCAATATAACAGTGTGTCGTGACACACGCTTTTGAAAGCTCTGAAATTTTGAACCTATTTGTTTATCTCCTCTTCCCTATTTTGTGTTTACGTGGGCTACTTTCTGGGAAACATCTGAAATGGGGCCTTGTTTCCATTTTTTTTGGTTCAATAGCCATTTCATGAGGTCAAGAAGCATTATGGAAATTTGGGAAATCTGAAACTCTATGAATCTATGAACTAAGTTTTGGTATGGAAGTTGGACCTCTGAACACAATGATGCCTAGGGTGAGGCATGAGGAATCCTTCTCAATCCATGTCTCAACATACCTCAGTCCACACAGATTTCCCCCTTTTCTCGTAATATTGAACCATGGTTGAGGAGCAGTGTCAATCAGCAAGGTGAAAAATGTACGTTGTCAAATGTCCATGTTTCCAGCTAACCCCATCTTGTAGCTTCATCACTGGCCAGAACTCCAACCCCTTTTGTTGAGGTAGAGGGAACATCATGAATTATTGCACTCTGTGATGCGACTACTAGATGGAGACAGAGAACATCCTGATAAAATCTGCTTATCATGAATATTCTATGATGTATTTATCTTCACAGGTATTGTCTCGGTGAAGAAAAGTGGTCTACCTTGCCCACAGTTTCTCGTGGTTTCAACTTGGGCCAGTTCAAGGGCCCAATTCAGTACATGGTGTGGAAAGAAATGCTGCCAGCTCTGAGGCCTTGTAAGTATTAGAGGAATTGTCCAAATTATACTTTAATTCCTGTATCCACAGAAGATAGATTCCCAGACTTTGTGTGGATATGCAAAACCTGCTGAAATGAGGGGACTTCTGGCCCAAGAATACTATCAAGTTGCACTGGAAAGGGGAGCTAGGAAATATCTAAAGCAGGCCCTCTAGATGTTTGGGAATTCCAAAGGCCCTAGTCAGCTTGTTCAATGGTTAAGCTGGATTCTGGGAGGTGAAGTCCAAAATCCCTGGAAGGGCAAAGGTTGTGCAGGCTTGATCTAGAAATCTGAGAAGGAGCCATCATTTGCCAGAGTGGATAAATGAAATTACCGAGACTGGTCCTGTGGATGTGGGAGCCATGCTGTAACTGGCATTATTAGCAAAGGAATGGACACAGATAATAGTTGGGATTCAGCATGTGATTTACATCTTCGCAGTGGATGCAGGTATGAATGAAGGACTATATTCCAAAGTTTGAAGCTTAACAGAGCTTTATTGAGGTTTAGGGTCCAGCACTTTGTAATTGAAGATCAGACTGAAATTCAGACCAAAGTCACAACTGAGCCTTTGGAGATGGGGATAAATGATACTGCCAATTTAGTACACATGTGTTCTTTATTTTCTTTGAGTTGGGGTTAGAGAGGATACTTAAAAATTGCCAACTATCTGGTGATCTTGTGTTGCTCTTTTCTCAACAGCTCCTTGCTTTATAACCTTGGATCCTGCCACCAATCACCCCAACCTTGTGCTTTCCAAGGATCTTGACACAGTACGTTTGGAGGACAATCCTGAGGAGGAGGTCCCCGATGGGCCAGAGAGGTTCAGCAAGTCTGTTTGCGTTCTGGGTGCCCAGGGGTTTACTTCAGGGCGCCATTACTGGGAAGTCAAAGTGGGGGACAAAACCAGCTGGGACATTGGTGTGGCTAAGGAATCGGTCAACAGGAAGGAAGCCAAAGTGACGGTCAAGCCCAGTAATGGATTTTGGGCCATCTGGTTGAGGAATGGTAATGAGTACAAGGCCTTAGACTCTCCATCTAAACAGCTGTTTCCAAAGGCCAAGCCCCAGAAAGTGGGGGTCTACCTGGACTACGAAGGGGGACAGGTCTCCTTCTATGATGCTGACACCATGGAACACATCTTCACCTTCTTGGACATTTTCACGGAAACCCTTTACCCAATGTTCAGCCCAGGTGTCAACAAAAATGGACTTAATGGTGAACCCTTGTGTCTTCTGACTCCTCTGGTGTAGCAGGAACCAAGCATTAACCAGCCTTGACTTTAAGTTGGGAACAGTTGAGAAGGGGCTTAATTTATGGCACATTTCTGAAGTAATGTAGTTCTAAAAGTCCCTTTCTAGAAAGACCCGACGGGCTCCTTCCTTGATGACATTCCATCAGAAGCTGGAAACATCTTTATTGTATAGGTGTTTGAGAACTAATTGTTTATAAGGATAGGACTTGTGTAAATACACACTATTAAATATGCTGTACCATTTTTTATAAATTATCAATTATTTTTCATTCTTCAGATCATTTAATTATATTTTAACAAAATATTTTTAATTTTTTACCCAGTTTTTATTATCTGTAGTGGTTTCCATTTTTCTATAAGCTGCCATGTGTTACAGGCAAAGCATACATAGATAAAGGATGAAAAGACAGGGGGAAAAGGGGAAAAGAAGGACAAAGGGAACAATCTTATGGCAACTGGATGGGAAGCAATTATGGAAGGAAATAGAATAGACATGAAGTAACCATTTGTGTTTTCAAGGCAGAAACAACTGCAGTTTTTAAAGACTTTAGGTTATGAGGTGACACTGCCTTGCAATGAGGTCTTGAGAATGTCAGTTGCTCTTTTCCTATCTGGTGTTTCTGATATTTGAATATGTAAATAAACTGAATTGACCCTCAACATATTGCTGGGACCTCTCTCTAGATGCACACTGTCTGTCTATACCCTTCTATTAACTTTGTCTCCAAGTACTGATAACTTAATACCTTAACAGCAGCACTTCCAAATGTATCTATCAGGAGGGCCGGGCTGGGAGGGAGTGGGGCCATTTGCACCCTGGATGGGCGTGGGTCCACAAGGGGTAGGACCCGGGAGAGGGCGGGGCCAAGAGGGGTCAGGGCAGGATCTAGGTACCCTCAGGTACCTAGATCCTGTACGAAAGGCTTCTTTGTGTGAACTGAATTAGAGGTCTCCTTTTCCCCTCCTTAACCCAGAAAAAGGGGCGGAACTAAAAAACATAATGATAATTGATGGGTCATTGGCCCTATTATTGCAAACCAAGGGAAGCCACCTTATTGCAAAATGCACGGAACTTTGGAATACATGCAAACACTCAATAGAAAGGAGAAGAAGTTGGAGCTCCTGGTACAGCCATACCAGCACACAGGGTAAATGAGGAAGGCCCCCGGTCCCGGCCCCCGGGCCTTAGTTTGCCATGCCTGGTATATATGCACAACACATAGATAGACAAACAAATTTTAAAGCTTCATTTGGAAGAACATATGTCTCAATCTATGGACAGTCCCAGTTAATCCTCTACTACCCCACTTTACACATGCTTTTAAATTATTCCAATGCCTTCAGCCAGCAGGAGAAGATAGAAGAGGACAGAATCTTGTCCTTCCTGAAAACAACAGTCTGCAGTCTCTTCTACCTTGAAAGACATTCCTTATTTTTAACTTGTTTGACCAGTATAAAAGTTGGTATGTTATGTTTTCTGAGCCAGCATAGTGTAGTGGTTTGGAAGTGGACTCAGGAAGGAATCCATATTCTTTTTCATGGAAGCACACTGTTTCACTGTTGTGGCTGATAGGAGAGAGAATACCAAGAGTGATCCTTTGTTGAGGCAGAAAAGTATGGTTTTATTTTCAGCTGAGACCTTGGTGAGGAATCTCTTCCTTTTGGAGCAAACCAGAGTCCGGATAAAGGCGTTGACTTCCCTTTTATACATCTTCAGATACAGGCAAACAAAGAAACATGCTCCTACATACGTTAAAATCAACACTACATCACTTTAGCAACATAGAAATATCAAATATCTTTCTACATGCATGAGACATGTCTCAGCATTTAGCTTACAGCAAGTTAGAGATTCTAGGATTCACCTTACACAGGTCCATCAAGGGGCTTATTTTGACCTGTCAGGAGGGAGGGAGGGAGCGCCACTTCTTACTTTTTACCTCTATCTGTTCGTTCTTGTCTCCCCCCTGGAATGTTCACCCCACTCTTGTCTGTGCCTTGGACACAGATCCTTCAGCATCCTTTTTGTCTTGTCAGTTTGGCTTCCCAATACAGAGAAAACCTGATTTTTCTTACATTTCAGAGCTTCTAATGTACATACAATATATCTATAAACATCTATATTTCCAATATCTCCACATCAACACCTCGATTGTGTATTTCTGCATAGCAGAACGGGCTTGGACTGGACGGCTCTTGCAATCTCTTCTAACTCTACGATTCACACTCACGATCTCTTAGCATCAGAGGAAGAGAGTGGCCAACCAACCTTGCCAAGAAAACTCTATGATAGGATAGGATCACCTCAAGTCGGAGTTGACCTGAATGCATGCAACAACAACCCCTGTGTTTTCCTACTAATCAGCAATAAATAAATAATGTTCATATTATAGAAAACATCTAAGCAAGCTAGAAACAAGATCTAGAAGCAAGCTGTGCCCTTGGGCCATGTTACATGTAAAGATGGGAAATCGGGAGGGAGATGATTTACTGATGAAACCTCTTGGGCAATGAGATGATGGTAGAAATATATGCATTGACTCAATCTTGTTGAAGCCTTTCTTTAGGTGGGTGATAGGGTGGCAGAGGTAAGTGCATGATTTCTTTTATTGCAAACAGTGAGATGTTGCTTACATTTCAAAGAAAATCAGTCCACCTTGAAGAGATCATTTATATTGCTACTGCAAGTCAACTGAGATATTGCTAGTTCGGCAGACATGAATATATCTATTCCTTCAAAAAAATCTGATGCATTCAGAATTATTATAGCTTTGGAAGATGAGAGCTAGGAGTTGATGGTTGATATGAAATTCTGTAGAAAATCATAACATAGTACAAGTTGAGCTTATTTGAAATGCTTGGGACCAGAAGTGCTTTGTATTTCAAGTTTTTTTTAAAGATATTGCAATATTTACATATACATTGAACTATCTTGGAGATGGAACCTGGCTCTCAACATGACATTCATTGATGTTTCATTTACGTTTTATTCATGCATACTGAAAGGTAATATTATAAACAATATTTTAATTTCAAAGTTTGTGTAGAAACCATCAACCATCAGAAAGCAAAAGTGTCATCTTGGCGACTCATGTGGATAATTTTGAAGTATTTTGGATTTTGGTTGAGAGATTCTCTCTCTCTCTCTTTCTCCGCATGCACACACACAGAGACAATAATGCTGTGTGTATGCATCTGAAGGGTATGTGGCAATGACCAGATTAAATTCTTTCTTGAGACCAAAGTTAGACGTTGTTACTCCACCTGGTCTAAATGAATGTTGAATTAAAAATCAGGGCAACAACATTTTAAAACTTTAACTTCAAATTGCAGTCCTACTCTCTGCATTTTTGAATAGCAGGTATATCAAGCATTGTTATTCAAGAAAGAGCAGCTCGATCGAGTCTGAATTGATGTTTTTATATGTGCATGTGTTTTATTTTATTGTATTTTATATTGTGTTCACTTTTATGTACATTTTCAGGCACTTTGTGCCGTTTGTAAGCCGCCCAGAGTCCCTTCGGGGAGTGGTGGCGGGGTATAAGAATAAAGTAGTAGTAGTAGTAGTTGTTGTTATTATTATTATTATTATTATTATTATTATTATTATTATTATTGGTTTATTAATAGCAATTAGCCATTGCTAAAAACTTATTGTTTAGCACCAGTCAATCTTTTGAAGACCTGATACAATAGAGAAACAATGGGAGTGGGCTTCCATGTTATTGAATGTGGGGTTTTTACAAAGGCATCAGGTTGCCTTCATGCTTGGAATGTATGAATGTCATGTTGTAAGAAAAATTGTATGCCAAATGGATCCTTCGGTCTTATTTGACAGGGCTTTTCAATGTGTTATCTGAAACGCTTGAAGGGATGGTTGTAGCTTCCCCTAGCTTTATACTCTTCAAAGATGTTATATGATAACAGTTCCCATTATTGCCAATCACCACCAGGACAGTCAGAATCTGAATCCTTGCTTCTCTGTGTCACTATTGACAAAAAGCCTACTGGTCTCTTTTCTTTCTAGTACACACCTGAGATCGAAAGCCAGAAAAGTATAGTGGTTTGAGCACTGGATGACTCTGGAGAACAGGACTTGAATCTCAGCTTGACCATGGAAACCCATTGGGTGACACTCCTAAGACAAGGGTAAGTCTTGCCAAGAAAGTCCTGTGATAGGTGTGTCTCCAAATCATAAGTCCAAAATTATTTGAAGACAGCCAATAGCAATAGATCTATAGACAAACAATAACATATCCCAAGGTCAAAGGGGATGACTGGTTTCTATTGCTTGAGTGTGTAGACATTTTTATTACTTTTAAAGTTGTTAACATATATACAATGTAATCAGTTGCATCAACTCACATAATGTCCTTTTATGAAAGATTTAAAATAGTCTTTTTTGTCCATGTAGATAAACTCCTTCAGCAGCTCATGTAGTGAGAGCACACTCTACACTCTGTGTCTCTCTCTGTTTCTCTCTTCAAAACTGTCTCTCTGCACATGCACAGCTCAAGCCTGAACAAAAATGTAACTGTAACTGTAGCCAAAAGTCCCAGGCTCAGCCATCTTGCCGGACATTGCCCAACCAATCAGCTTCATGCATCTTATTTTACACACACACTCAATGATTGTGCTGAATGTAGCTTTTAAATGATATTTTAGTGGGTCTTTTCTTTGAACATGTTATATATCTTAATATATTCATTGAAACTAACAGTGAGCAGTTGAAATCAATATCTTTAAAATATAGTGAGCAGTTAAAAACAGTGAGCAGTTGAAATCAATATCTTAAAAATCAATGGCTGAGATCCTACATCTTTGTCTGATAAGTTTATGAACCCATAGCTATGGAGAGAGAATTAACACTTGGGAGAGAAAGGAAGGGGAGGGAAATGTGCATCCTTTCTGACTAGAGATTCTTCAATGTTTTCAATTGATCTGCAGATGACATGGATCATGCCTAACCACTCTTCTCTCGTGAGCGAGTTCATCTTTGTTGGGTTTTCTGAATTGCCACAGATGCGGACCCTCCTCTTTGTGCTGGTTCTCTTCATGTACACTGCCTCCCTGGCTGGAAATGCCATAATCACCACCGTGATCAAATTAAATGCCACCCTCCATACACCCATGTACTACTTCTTGATCAACTTATCCCTGTTAGAAATATGCTACACAACTGCCATTGTTCCCAAGATGCTGGCAAGCCTGATATCAAAGAATGGCAAGATCTCATTCTGGGGATGTGCCACCCAAATGTACTTCTTCACCCTCTTCGGGATCACAGAATGCTGTCTCCTTGCGGCTATGGCCTATGACCGCTTTGTGGCCCTATGTAAGCCATTGCGCTACAATGAAATCATGAACCGGAGGGTCTGTGTCCAGCTTTCCATGGTCTCATGGTCAGTAGGAGTGATGGTGGGTTTAGGCCAAACCAACTATGTTTTTAGCCTGACATATTGTGGGCCCAACAGGATCAATCACTTCTTTTGTGATATCCCACCCCTCCTGACACTAGCTTGTGGTGACATCTCAATGAATGCCATTGCTGTATACATGGTGGCTGTGCTTTTCATCACTCTACCTTTCCTTCTGATCATCACATCCTATGTATACATCATCCTCTCCATTCTGAGGATGCCATCAGCCGAGGGTAGGCGCAAAGCCTTCTCCACCTGCTCTTCACACCTCATTGTGGTTTCCCTATTCTATGGTTCTGGCATCATCACATATCTTCGGCCAAAATCCAGCTACTCAGCAGAGAGTGACAAACTGCTGGCCTTGTTCTATACAGTTGTGACATCTATGTTGAACCCTATAATCTACAGTTTAAGGAACAAAGAGGTCAAAGTTGCTCTGAAGAGAATAATGAGAAACAAACTATATGTTAGAGAATGCAACAAATGCTTATTGTTATAATAGGGCTGACTATATGATCTATTATGTTGTGCATCTTTTGTCCAATAAAACCTTTTGTGAGAGAAAACTGGTTTCTGCTTATATTTGGATGCTAACTGGTATCACCACAGGCTTTTCTACTGAGTCATTATACTTTAGCAAAGTGACAATAACGTAGAAGATTTCTATACTTACAAAAAAGTAGTCATCCCCTGCCACGCGTTGCTGTGGCCCAGAATGGTGATTTGGAAAATAAAGTAACGAGAAAGTGTTGGTTTCTAATATATGTAATTTCTTTATGCTTGTGAGTAAACAGTATTTCTTGTTGTTTCTTTGTCAGTGTTGAGATAGAGATTGTCTGGTCTGCCTACAACATATAATTGTCCTTCTTTAGGGGTCCCTTTCAAATCTATGATATTATATCTGTCATATACATATATATGTGAGTGCATGTGGATAATATCTATCCATCTATATCTATGGCTGGATGTCTCTTTGTCAGAAGGGCTTTGATTATGTTTTCTTGTCCTGGTGAAGGGAGTTGGACTGGATGGCCTTAAGGCAGCATTTCTCAACCTGGGGGTCGGGACCCCTAGGGGAGGGATTGTCAGAAGGGTCACCAAAGACCACCAGAAAACACAGTATTTTCTGTTGGTCATGGGTATTCTGTATGGGAAGTTTGGCCCAATTCTGTCATTGGTGGGATTCAGAATGCTCTTTGATTGTAGGTGAACCACAAACACCAGTAACTACAACTCCCAAATGTCAAGGCCTATTTCCCCCAAACTCCATCTGTGTTCATATTTGGGCATATGGAGTATTTGTGCCAAGTTTGGTCTAGATCCTTCATTGTCTGAGTCTACAGTGCTCTCTGGATGTAGGTAAACTACAACTCCAAAACTCAAGGTCAATGCTGACCAAAACCTTCACTCAGCTTGTTGTCTTATAAAATTCCTAGGCTGAAGATTTCCACATGTACTGTTGTCGAGTTGTCACCCATCCATATCTGTGGAATCCTGGGTTTTGTAGTTAGAGCTCTACAGAATTTGAAGGACCCTCACAAATTACAAACCCTTAGATTCCATAGGATGGACCCATTACAATTAAAATGATATCCTACTGATAACAACATTGTGGTGCAGATCTATCCGCAAAAAAGGACCTGGCTCCAATTAAAACAGACCCATTGAATCAATGGGATTTAACTATGTGTTGACTACATCTCAAAGCTGTTAGATATATTTAAAGGAGAAGCTTGCTAGAATGCTTCTGCCTGAAATACTTCATTCCCTATGTGTAAGAGTTTGTTTTCCATGAAGCAGTCAATCTTTTAAGGCCTAGTTGCAGTTTAGTATGGTACAACGTAGAAATATGGACCCAAAAATAACTGATGCTTTGAAGAATAGATTTATTACATCAATGAGCACATAGAATCATAGAATAATAGAGTTGGAAGAGACCAAGTGGGTCATCTAGTCCAATCCCCTGTCATGCAGGAAAAGCACAACCAAATATGTATATTTACTACTAAGGTGTTGATTCAATGAGCCTACTCTAGTAGAGAGTAGAAGTTGGACTTAGGCCAAGAGGACCAATACTGTAAGAACTGTGCCATGAAGCTTGAGGCAAGTCCACTTGAAACTTTTATGCATTCTGTCGTGTTGTGTCAGGAGCGACCGAGAAACTGCAAGTCGCTCCTGGTGCATTGAACCTTGATGAAGTTCTAGTACCTTGCTTAGAATAAGATCATAATTACTGAGAATATATCACCAGAGGACTTTAGAGCTAGTATTTTATCACTGGAGGCAAAGAAGATGGCACCACCATTTTCATTTTACTTAACAAGGCCCTTGGAGATTTGTTTGTGAAGGAAGGAAAATACTTCTTTTGACTTCTGCTCTCATTTCATATTAGTGACTTCTGGAATGTAGTTTTCTTCCTGTGGGTCTACAACTTCTATACTATGTTGGTTGGATTCTGTGAAGTCTTTAAAAATTGAAAGTATCCACCACCATTGCAGCCATGGTATTTTGCTGCCTGATACTAAGGATGAAATAGTGTCCATTCCCATCTCATGTACAGGAGCTGACTGGTGTAAAGAACCCTTACCTTTTAACAGATAGGATGTGGGCAAGGCGAAGCCTCGACAGTAATTTTAGTGTAGTGCAGAGCAGGGAATGGCCGGGATTGGTGGAGAAAAGGGGGCGGAGTTTAGGAGGAACTGAGAGGGAAAAAAGGAGCGTTTTAAGTTTTAGAGAGGAGTTGGTAGTTTAGGGTTTGAAGAGAAAGAGAGTTTAGGAGTGGAGTGGTGTTAAAGTTAGGGAAAAAGGCCTAAGTTTGCCAGGAGTTTGCTAGGAAGGTAGCTAAAGCAAACTGACAGCTAATAGAAGGTTAGCTGGGTAGTAGCTGGATAGAATCAGGCTAGATTTATCTGGGCTACTGAAGGATCTCTGGAAGAGACACAGTCCTGTTGGAATTCTTGTTTTGTTTTGGAGGGAGAGAAGAAACTCTTTTGTAACAAAGATAGAACCATTCTTGTAACCATCATGCTTTTAAGACACAACTTTCTGTAACAGCCAAGATATTGAAGCACTTGTACCCGTTCTATATAATAAACTTTGTTATTTATTGTTCATCTAAACCTGACTCAAGTGTCCCTCTATACTTAAAGATTTCCAAAGTAACTTTAATCAGTTTTGAAGAAACTAATGGTGGCAGCATTGATTAGTGATCTGAATAGATCTTTATAATTTGGTCTCCAGCGATTGAGATCGATTTGCTAGGAGTTTCTTTATAATTTGGTGGCAGCGAGTGAGATCTGATTTATTCGGTCTTTATAACTGGCAGCTCATTTTTCCCCAATCCTGATAATGAGGTTTTACTCTATTTTATTGTATTTTCCCCATAATATGGGAACAAAGGCAGGTAACAATAAAGGTTAAAAATACAGCTAGATACCTGTGCATGGAATGCGTTTCTGGTTGAACTATGGTTATGTGAAACCATGGATGTGACTGAATTACACCTACTTATTTTACTTCCACCCCAGCATATCATAGATGTGTACCAGAGAACTGAGAGATTCCTAGAGAGGTATACTCTCTAGGAATTTGCTAGGCTTTCCACACAATTCAATGGCAACTTCCAGAGAAAATATAGCATATACATGTCTGGAAGGCCTTGCGGATTCTTTAAAAGGCCATTTCAAATGTCCTGGCTTTCATCTGTGTAAAGTTTGAGAACATTCTTTTGGGAAAAATGGGGACTTTAAAAAAATCAGGTGTGGTGGGATGTGTTAGGTGGTGGGCTCTCCCAGAATGCAGCCTCTCGCCAAGCCCTGGCGACTGCTCACCTGCTACACAAGATCCATATTTTATGAGAGTTTTTAATTAGATAATAATAAAGAAATGATACATTTTTATTTGTTACCCACCTCTCCTCACAGCTAAAGCACAACACATTAAAACACATTGCCATAAAATACATATATTAAAATTCATAGTGCAAGGATTAAAATGCAATACAAATTGGTCTTGTGCATATGTATAGAATTACAATCCGTTTCTGTTTGTTTCATTCGTAAGGCCCTGTTTTCATTTTTGAGCACCTCTCCCAAAAACAGGCACCTTTTCAAATGAGTTTTTTCACCCAAGGTCAGAAAAACAAATATTTTCGGCCCATTGGCGGCAATTGGTAGGCTTCCCATGCTCCCCTTCCCCTAAGTTTTAGGGCTAGCGCTTGGTGCTTGGCTACAGCGCCTGGCAGGTGCTGGTGCTCACTACACACATACTCTCCTTGGAAAGTGCTGAAAATCAGCCGACCAAATGGTTACCATCCCTACTTTGCTTTCGTTTCACTGATATTTCCATACCGGAGGGGGGTGTACAATTTCGTGCCTTCCAAATAAAAAAACTGTACGAGAACACGAATTAAACAGGTAAAACGGTAACCAGGTCCATGACTAATGCAAATACATATATTAAAATATAAATAGACTGTATATTTAAAATTCACTGTTTAATATTAACCTGGTAGGCCTGATGGAAGAAATAGGTCTTTACTTCTGTCTTGGATGCTGACAGCTCATTTAGCTATTGGAGCTCTTTTGACAGGTCATTCCACAGTCTTGGGGCAGCTAATGAAAAGGGCTTCTTGGTTATAGTTGCCAGTCGGGTTCTCACCTGTTGGAGTAGCTCCCTCCCCCACCTAAAGGACTAAGTGTCTGGGGAGGATTATATGGAAGAAAATGATATTGTAGGTAACCTGGATCAAAACTACATCAAAACCAACAAGTTGTACTTTGCCCATAAATTAATTGGCAACTAGTGGAGTGGCATTAATACTGGAGTAATGCGCTCACTCCTGGATGCTCCTTAACCAATCTGGCTCCCATACTTTGAACTAACTAGAATTTCATACAGAGCTATCCCCATGTACAGTGTATGGCAGAAGTCCAACCTTGAGTTGACCAGTGTGCGCACTACCATTTTAGATCCTCCAATTCTAGGAAGTGGTGCAGTTGGTGTATCATCCAAAGCTGATATTAAGCACTCCTGACCATTATAGTTATTAGAGCTGACATTTGGAGAGATGGATTCAGGTGCACCCCCAAACTGTGAACAGTCTTCAGGGGGAGTAAGTCTATCCAGAACTGGTTGACACATCTTTACCCCTAGTTTAGGACCCTCAATAGTAAGTTTCTCTGTTTTATCTGGATTCAATTTCAATTTGGTCCCCCCCCCCCCAAAAAAAATCTGGCCCATTACTTTCTTCAGGTATTCATGAGAGACCCACTGTCCTTAATGGCTATTGGGAGAAGAGGACAATCATGAAGATGGTAGCTGTATTTTCCTAAGTTTTCACTGTTATCTTTCCCTTGCTGCTTGTTTCCTCGGGGTAATCAGGAGAGAGCTCACTTGAGTGGCCAAGGGAGACCTCTCTCCTTGTTGCATCACTCATGGGACCACATCTTGTTGCGGAAAAAAGCGACATATATATTTTTGCTGGGATATTTGTCATGC